AATAGTCATGACAGTGAAATTGAGGTGGAAAACTATAGTCAGTATTGGTTTCTGGCTTTGTTTTGGGGCTAATTTAATAGTTTAAAGCTCTAGGGTCTCTTCTCTAATGACTGGGTGTAGCCAAGGTGACATCAGTGTGCTATAGCCTAGGTCTCTGCTGCCTTCCAGAAGGAGAGAGCACTGCTGAAGCTTTTCTTGTGCAAATCTTGATGTGCCTTCCATCTCTAAATCTGTCTCTGAAGTGGTGTTTTCTGCTCTGTGCTAACAGTATGGGATAAATCAGATTATCCCTTTCAACTGCCTTTTCCAATAGCCCTCTTGGTGTTGAGATGTCAGGGGTGGGCTGGGAAAAAGAGGTTCTGGGAAGGGTAGGACCTCTCCCTTTTGGAAGCCCAGAGTTGTATCATCTGAACTTGGCTGTGACAGCATGGAGTGACTTAGAGAGCCAGGCTCTCTAAGTGCCTGGATGTTGCCTCTGACTTCCCTTTTCAGTCTGTTACTAAAGATGGCCAAAAAAAAATTAAATCAATTTTAATTTGAGACGTGATATACATACAGAATCTCTTGGTGCCCTCTGAAATATGTGTGGACTTCAAAGATCAGCAAGCAACAACTTCTAGTTGTAAAGAAGGAATATTTTTATCAGTGCTAATCTCTTAAGTGCTACCTCAGTTTTTGAAGATGTATTTTCAAAAATACTCTTCATGAGCTGCAAAATGTGCATGCATTTCAAAATTTTAATTTTTACTTAGGTAAGAAAAAGTGTAAAGACTATGGTTTTTGGAAGACAGAATGGGGATGTTGAGGAAATAGGGGAGAATCAATCCCTTACAGAAATACAAGTCTTTGGTTGTAAGGGCAGAAAATACATTGTTCTTTTCTCTACCTAATGCAGACTAACAAAACCACTCCATCTGTCCACCTTCAGAAAAGATGGTAAAATGGTAGGATTCTCTGCTGACCAGTTTGCTACCCTGTGCAGATTTAGCTGCTGTTTTCTTTAGTTTTATGCAGTTTTATGCAGTGGTGTTTCCTATGAAGTTTTAAGGTTGGGGACCCTATTACCTGATTTTATTGAGCTACATTTATTTGTATTCTAAATGCTTGTCTGAATATTGGGCTTTGGTTATCCTGGAGGCTGAGTGATCCCCTTGTATAAATTAACGGGGACTAATGTTTTACCATATATTTAAAAAGTGAATTTAATGTCTTATAGAAGAGCAATGATACCTGCAGATAATCATTAACCATGTCTTCTGTACCCTGTAGATCATAGGGAAGCTAGTTTTGAAATTTGAGCTTGAAACTGAGTAACTGTTTTACTTCCAGGAAATAAGGTTTAATTTCCATTTGAAGATATAGAAATTAAATGTTAGCTATTCTAGGACACTATGAATGTATTTACCAGGCTTTGTTCTAAGCTATGTGGACTGAAATATTTTTTTCATGATAACAAATACTTAAAAACTGTGCATACAACATCTGAATCCCATCTGTTGTTATTGTCTGCTGCTATTACTGTATTGTCATATTTAGAAATATGACAATATTAGAAAAAACAATATCATAATTAAAATTAAGAGGACATACAAAGACTGCAATATGTTTGCAATGTGTTTCCTAACTGAAAGTATCTCTTGACCAGGAACTTATTAGTCTGATACTTTATGGATCAGTTTTTCCACAAAAAATCTGTACTAAATCAACTGGGGAGAATGATCTGTAAGTTCAGAGGATATTATCAAGAAAGAAGCAGCTATTCAGAAATAATTAGAAATGCATTATCAACAGTTCAGTGTTGTTTGAGAACATTTAATAGCTGCTCAAAAAAAAAAATTATCATAGTTTGAAAAGTAAGACCGTAGTGAGCTGACTCATAACTGTGTGGCATAGAAAGGCAGTGTTAGTGAATGGAAATAGTAGTCTCAAGGTCCTGCAAAGTTGGATTTTGAACCTGTTTTTTTAATATTTCTATCAAATACATGGAAAACATTATAACTGTTACTGGTAAAAAGTAAGAGCTAAGAAACAGATAAAATAGACAGTTACTGGTAAAGAGAACATAATCTCATTAACTCAGCTAAGCTCAGGCACATGCTTTTCAGCATATCCAAATATAATTTTGTGTCTTGAAATAAGAAAGGCACACTATATTTTCATCTTTATACCAGGATGCCATTATCCTTTAACCTCCTTTCTCACAAGCAGGAAGTTGCACTTATCAGTAAACTCTGGACTTGTTCTGTTATGCTTTGGCCAAAAGGCCTCGCACATCCAAGAGCTGCAGTACTGCAGCTGCATTATCTTTGCATTTGATGGTGTTCCAGAAAAAATCGGGAATGCTGGTTCCAGATGGGTGTGCTTCAAGAAGGACATAGAAAACTGGAGATGATTCCAGGTAGGGCTGTAAGAATGATGAAGGAATTGGAAATGTGCTGTTTGCTGAAAGATTTAGAGCTCAGTCTGCTTAATTTAGCAAAATTGTGGTTAAGACACCATTTGATCGCAGTCTTAGTGTATTCATTTGGGAGCAGAAGTGTCATAATAGATAGTGCCTCCTTCTAGCAAACAGAAATAAAACACAAAACAGCAGCTTTGAAGTTAAGTCAGCCAAATTAGTTTGGAAATAAGGTGCAAAATTGTGACCAGGAAGGGAGATAAAAACTGGGCAACTTACCAATAGGTATGACGCATTTACAAGCACTAGAAGTACCTAAGATTGGATGTGTTCCTGAAAAATTCACCATAGTCTTGGTTGAGTGTTAAAAGCACCAAACCTCTGCATGATTTTGTACCAGGAGTGATATATGTAGTGTGATATAGTAGGGCTGTGGTATTTGTATGCAATGCTTGATGATCACAGCTGCTTGTTCACTCTTAATAAGCTACCACAGACATGGACTTCCTTGAAGCTTGTGGGAATCATATGTACAAACAAGGATTTCTCACACAGTTGAAGCAGGTTATCAAAAAGAGATTATTTTTCCCCTTCCCCCCACCCCCCCTTTTCTTTATTTACATGGATTCGATTTGAGAACAGATGAAATAAAAGTTATTAATTACTTAGTACATATTGGATTCAAGAAACTGGAGATGTGAAAATAATTGGCGACTGAGATATAGTGAAGGAATACATTAAAGGTCCTTTTCTTATTCTTCCCTAAACATTAAATTATCTTATTTGGGGAGATAATTTACTGGACTGATAGATTATTGGTCTGACCCCATGTGAATTTTCCTATATGCTAACAGTGTTTGATTATACTCTATTATCTTCTGAGAAATGAAATCTGTAGCTTAAATTACAGCGTGTAAAGTATCAAAATGTGAACCTCTCAGAACAAGTATATGCAAAATAATCTTTCTTGAAAATAAAGAAGGTTAAAAAAAACCACAGAACAACCGAACTGAACTTTAACATTGATTAGTTGTATCAGTTTTACTATAGCAACTGATTGTATCAGTTTTAATCATATCAGCATACCAACATATCAGCTTAAAACTGGAGCGTACATTTTGTTCTTGGAACTTTAGTTCTGGTGTACTGGGCAGATTTATAATGCAGTTAATACCTCTGTTCCTTTAGATACGAGTTTCCGGTGCTGGAAAAATACCCCAGGAAATTAGCCTGTGTAACGGGATTACTTTCCAATTATTTGCTGAAATTACTTTTTCTGTCTTGTTTAGCTCTGAATGTTTTCAAACCACTTCATAGTACAGTATACGGAACATGTTTGTAGCCTGTGAGTTGCCAGTAAATCTGTGCATGAGCTGCTTAGAGCCACTGATTGAGCCATTGTTAGAAAAGCAAAGAGAATTAGTAAAATACTTGAATGAGAAGAAAGCTGCATAATTAGGGCATTGCTTTTATGTATCCTATTACATAGATAACATGGAGCTGCCTGACTGGAGAGTGTGCTGGTGTAGACATTAAATTGAAGATCACAGTATTCAGAAAGTCTGATCTGATAGCAAGCTGTCTTGGGCTCTTCCACTTGATGAGTAATGTTAGACCAACAGTACACTATGTACTTATCTTAAATGTCAGACTGTAACTGTTCTTGAAAGATTAAGATACAATATAATCTAATTTTTTTTTCTGATATACCTATCTAGAAGTTTATGAAACTTTTTAATGAGCCTTTTTATTATAATAATTTTAAAATGCATATCATGGAAGCAGAGACTTTGCTGTCATATTTCTTACTAAAGGTATCTAATACTGTTTAAGTCAGGCAATCTGCATAGTTGCAATAAACATTGATATATTTCTGTGTGGTGAAGCTTTATATTTCCCATCAGACTAAAAATATTTTGCTTTCACTGTTGTTTTGCAGTGAACACAGTTTTGGTTTTTTGATCAAAGATACTTAAGTCATCTGTATATATTATGTCATTTATTTAGCTATGAAGTAGATTGCATAAAATTTACTCAAACATTGAAATCTAAAATTAAAAAATGGTACTTCTAATTGCCATGTAAAATTTAAATACGCAGCAGTCATCCACACATTTTCTTGCTAAAATTTTTATTTAGCAATTTTACTTTCTGAATAGCAATGTTTCATGACTTTACATGGGCTCTGTTTTTACAGAGATATCAATGAAGGATTTCTTTGTGTATGTGTATTTTAGTATTTTGAGGACTCAGATTTTTACTGGTTACTTGTTAAAATCCTCATTTTATTTCAGAAATGTTACAGTTTGCATTGATAGGGTAAATTAATATGAAATGGGTTCAAATTTATTCTTGATACTTGCTTAAAATTGAGTGGAAAATGTGAATAATTTTATAGTAAGTATAAAACCATGCTATTAATGACTCAATTTAGTATTTTAGGATAATTTATTGTTCACTGGAAGTGCAAGTGGGGAAAAGTAGCTATGTTCTAACAAAGCTAACAAAGTCATATATTTCACATATTCCATAAGTAGTAAAAGTAAGAAATCACAAGAGCTGTAATTTGATGACATTTTGGGCGTTTGTTTTTCCTTTTCAGTCAGTGGCAAAGACTGGGCGACTGCTGATTAGCCATGAGGCTCCCTTGACAGGAGGATTTGCATCTGAAATCAGTTCCACAGTTCAGGTACACAGGTTATTTGTTTTTAAGTGTTCTGCATGGATGAATACATGTTACCCTGTAGAAGAAATACTTACCATTACATTAAAAGTTGAGGTTTTATATATATTTTTTTAATTACTCTCTTTTGCAGTTTTGTGGATGCTTGTCTTACTTTATTTGAACAGCTGAGAAATCATGTACCTACTAGGCACTGTGCATAGTGTCTGCTAAGCTAGAAATTTAACTTCCACTGCAAAACAGGGAGACAGGGAGAGTGTGCACTATGAGATGCAGGGGAAAAATCTTCAGTCTGGTTTTAATGTTCTTTTTTATTTTTCTCATGTGGTTATCCCTTGAGTTTCTTAAAAATGCATTCTAGGAATGTTGAAATCACAGAAAAAGCATTAAGGTCCAGTACAGTAACATAGTGTAGCACACAGTGTTCAGAGACCTCATTAGAAAAGTCTGCAGAAGTTGTTCTTGTATGTTTGTGGTGATGCTCATGCACGTGTTAGCTCGTATGCACAGAACAGCTTGGAAAGGCTGAGATGTGCATCAGGATCAGTTACTTCTGGAGCATTAGGTTTCCCAAGTCCTTTTGAGCTTTCTGATGTTGTTTATACCTGTACCTCCTTGGACGTTTTCCCCTTAACTTGATTTCTTTCCTGTGCACATCAGTGGTACTGGTTTGTAGAAACATCCAAATTAAATGTGCCCATCACTATCTGAAGACTCTTTTTTGATTTTTCTAGGATAGTTAAATTATAGGACTAGAGTGAAATGGGATTGTAAAATTCACAAAATATAAGCCATGTAGGCAGTAATTAAAGCTTGGTAATCAGTCTTTTTATGGGGAGGAATAGAGTTTAATTCTGGGAGTGTAACTTTGAATTAAATATGCAGAAGGAATCAGAATACTGCGTTTCTTTATCTTTGTGCTACAGTATTTTAAAGAGTTGTTGTACTAATTTTAATGTAATTATATTAAGGTAAATTAATTTTTTCTACCAAAATGTTTTCTCCATTAAGAAGCAAATATTTGGTTCATGGAGGCCTCATAGCAGCCCTCCAGTATCTGAACGGAGCTTACAAGAAAGCTGGAGAAGGGCACTTCATCAGAAGCTGTAGTGATAAGAAACAGTCATGGATTCAAACTGAACAAAGGGAAATTCATGTTAAATATATGGAAGAAATTCTTTACTGTGAAGGTGGTGAGGTATTGGAACTGGTTTCCCAGAGAAGCTCTGGATGCCCCATCCCTGGAAGTGTTCAAGGCCAGGTTGAATGGAGGAGCTCTAAGCAACCTGGCCTATTGCAGGGAGTTGGAGCTAGATGAAGGTCCCTTCCATCCAAACCATTCTGTGATTCCATGATTTTTCATCCTTCAAAATAATCAGCATTTAACCTTTCTTTAGTAGATAGTCTCTGTTTAAACTAGGACTAATAAAGTTACAGGGTACTGTCAGCTGCGAGTGTAGGAAATTAATTTTCTTTATAAATTCTCACAAAAAATGTGAAATAGACTCAATCAAAAGAGCCTGTCTTCTAGCATCTTGTATTATTATCAACAGTTGAGAAAACTATTCTAAGGTGAGCAGCAAAGTCAAAATCTAGCATATAACAAAGGAAAGCATGTGTTGGATTAAAAAGTGAGCTGAAAAAAAATCTTACCAGTAAATATCATTGAAAAAACATGGGATGCCCAACATATTGCTAAAATTACAACATGATTTTTTAATCTTCAGACCTCCACTGAGAATGCTACTCAACTGATTGATCCTTCTTGAGGTGTTGTTTTTCATATCAGGGATATATATGACAAATATCACTTGTTTAGAAAACAAAGTCGAAAATGCTTTACTAAAGGGCAATTTATCTCTGTCAACATTGAAAGAAAATATTTATTTTATTATAGTTGCTCATAATTTTATATTCATCTTTCTTAGTGAACAAGGTTTTGTATCTTAAGAAAAACTGGTCTGTTACATATGGTCCCTCAGAATAAATTCAAATATAACTCTTCGGCATTGCATTTATCCATGACAGGTTTCTTTTATACGAATTGCCTGACTTGACTCTGTGTTATAACCATATTGTCATTACTCTGTATATCTGTTCTTGAAGATTCTATCATCCATACTAAAGTTTTGATATGAGTACTTCAAAGATTATACTACAAAAGAGATGAAAATAAAAAGCTACAACTTCTTAAAGAACAGTATTGCTTTAGGCATAATAAAGACCTTGCTTATTCAGTTAAAAGTATTGATTTCTTAACAGTCAAGTAAAGTCTGTATATCTGATATCACTGTGCAGTTAAAATTAAAACAAAAAGTGACATTCTCTTTTGCTGGATATAATGCATACTAAGAATGCCAAAAATTGGGGATTGCAGTTGGCTTTAGTTTCTTGTTACACATGGAAGTAATAAGACTTCAATAAAATGTCCAGTTGGATTAGATGGTTAGTTTCCATATTGTTATTCCATCCTTGCTGTGAGGTCTCATCATAGAAATAAGGTGAATAGAAGTACATAGACTATTTTAAAAGTTAGTGGTCACATACACTTCATGGTGATATACAATTCAAGGAAAAGAGTACAAATGGAAATGATGGCTTTCACTCACTATCTATAGGAAAAAATACATTGAATGCTTTTCTTCTTGCATATGAGAGATTGAAAACAGCATTTGGGCATTGTGTTAAATCAGATTTGTTATGTGTCGAGTACAGAATATTTTAAAGGGGCGCATTATTGCACTAAGCGGTCATTTACGCTGCTCAGACATAAAATTAAAAACAAGAAGAGGTGGTGTACTTAAAACTCTACATGATATGACTTTGCCCTTTGCTCCAGTGTTTCATATGTGCTCTCAATGAGTATTCTGAAGTGAGCAATGGATACCAGGACAAATTCAATACAGGTACAGTTAAAAGTCTAAATAGGTTATATTCTGTACAAAAGCTTGCAAAACTGTCATGTTCAGCAGAGAAAGTGTTAAACTTGCATAAAGCACAGTTTGAGAAGCCTTGGGAGAGAAGCCCACTGAGATGTCACTTCCAAAATAATGAAGAATTGTGTGTGGAAATCATCAGTACATTAATAATTTGTAATTCACAGAAACATAAATCCAGTAACTGTGTCCTGTTTAAAAACAAAAATTTAAAAAAAAAGAGGGGAAAAAAAAAAAAGAGAGCGAACCAGGCAGGATGGAGACAGCACAAAGAGTAAAGAACTCTGGATTACTTCACAGGGTTGCTGCCTGCCAGCACTGGGGACTTGTTGTGGGATGCAGGAAGAAGCATTTTGGAATCATAAAAGTCTTGTTGGATGTTTAGTGGAGAAACCAAAACTGGAGAGATGTGAGGGCCAAGGTGGTTTGGGAAGTTACAGGTATGGGAAAACTGAGAGAGAAAGGGATAAAAAGGAAGTTTGTGTTATGGCTTCAGTAATATGGTGGCTGCTATTTTCTGATAGGGCTGAAATAAATGTGTGGAAGTAACATATACCCTCTGGCATTGATCCTGCAAATACAGGAAATGTACATCTCAAGAAAATCTTAGTGGTTTTCTACCCATTCTCTGCAAGTAATGGCTAAAATTTTAAAAATAGAAAACTGCTCTAATAATTTTTAATGTTTTCATTTAAGGAATTTCAATTTTCATTTAGGAATTTCAATTTTGTTTACATTGATGCCATTATAGCAGGATACGCCATGAAAATACATGCTGCTATTAAAATAAAAGAAATGCATATGAGTAAAGAAATTTGTTAGCTGACCTGGTAAAAGTCATTGCTGTCTATAAAATAACAAGTCAGCACATTGTTTTTTGTAGGCAGTTGCACAGATGTGTCATTCTTGCAGGAACAGAGCAATTCTGATTTGATTGCAGTTCCTGTCTTTGTAGCACAGTTTCTTTTCTTACTGCCTGGTAAGTACTTTGTCCTTGGGCATCTCTCTGCACAGGGGATGTTGGGTCAGCTACCAAAGAAATGTATGGGTGAACACAGCTCCGTCCTCAGGAGCCCTTCCAGCTCCAGAGTGTTTCTCAGACTTACACAGAAGTATCAGTCTTCCAGAAGACTGGTATCAATCAGAGGATAGGACTCAGAAAATTCAGTGAAATAACCTGTTTCTGAGAGTTGAGTTACGTGATCTTATTTTTTCAAATCTTGCATTCTGTATCTACAAATTGGGTATAACAGTATTTGTCTGTTTGATCAGTAGTGCCTTAGATTTTTTCATCCTGCAGCAAAATAAGGCCTAATCTCCAGTAAGTGGTGTAATTTCCTGCTAGAGTGTGGCATTAAGGGAAACTATTAGATGAGCTGATTTTGTGAGAAGCATTTCAGGAAAAGTGGTTATATCATGAAATACCTTCCAAAGACACAAATTCCAGAGCAGTTCTATCTAAAACAGGTTACCATGGAAAAAAATGTGCCTGAGAAAGTTAAACAACGAGAAAGAGAAATGTAGTGATTTCAGTGGTATGAACATATAAAATAAAATGAACTGGTATTGACTGATATTGAACAGGTTGTTACTGTGTTGAGTAATTATTATTTTGCTGAGTCCTAATGAAAAAAATTCCACCTTTCCAATAAAATGCTTTCAGAATGTTTGTCCCAAATACTTCTTCATGCCATTATATTATCTGTCTTTAGAATTTGGCATGTTGAGATATTCCAAACAGTTCTATTTTTCCAGTTTTCCCATGAGTAGAAGCTAAGGTGGGATTTCCCAAGGAAGCTGTAACAGTCCTCTGTGGCTCTCTGTGGTGCTTTGAGGAAGTGAATGCAGTGCAGTACTTAAAAATACCCATGAGACCAGGCTTAAGGTTCAGATCATGCACCTGTGTTCGTACTTAGCGCAAAAGGAACTAATGAATAATTTCGTCTGTGGGATGGGTTTTGAAGTTACGGTGAATAACATCAGATTTTGTGCTGGTGCAACTTAAAATCTTATTTTAATGAACAGGCTGTAAACTGGTATTAAAGTCTGACTTTATTGGAAGCAATGAAT